TGCGTGGGAAGCCAAGCGAGTTGAATTGGAAGGCCGAAGTAACGAAGACCCCGTATAACCGTAATCGGACTTGACAATAGTCAATTCGATCCTAGGGCTCAATTCATTTTCACACTTTGTTATGAGTGTGACAAATGAGTTGAAAAGGATAAACATAAAACATTTATTTATTTTCAAAAATCTGCAGAGATGGGTAATTCTAAAGGAATATTTGGAGTTGGAAATTTTTGTCATTATGGAATTGGAGTTGAAAAGGATGAACATAAGGCATTCATATATTATCAAAAATCTGCAGAGATGGGTGACCTTAATGCGATATGTAATTTTGATATTGTTATCATAATGGAATTGGATAAACATAAGGGATTTATTTATTATCAAAAATCTGCAGAGATGGGTAACTCTAGGGGAATACATAATGTTGGATATTGTTATCAATATGGAAATGGTGTTTCCAAGGATGAACAAAAAGCCTTTGAAAATTATTTAAAAAGTGCCGAATATGGAGTTTGTTGCGGAATGTATAATGTTGGTTATTGTTATCAGAGAGGGATAGGAGTAGAAAAGGATAAGATTTGGCATTTGAATGGTAGAAATCTGCTGTTACACAACATAATTGTGGGTTTAATAACTATTTCCGATGGGTAGAATACGATCATTTTCGAAACATTGAAGAAGCAGGTAGAGGTGGTTTTTCCGTAGTGTACAAAACATCATACAGAACATTATGTGGATCGTATAAAAAAGTTGCAATCAAGATAATAAAAGATTCGTATAACAATAATAAACTTTTTTAAATGAGGTAAATATCGTGGCATATCAATGGAAAAATATACTGGTGATTTGATTTTAGTATTAAGTTACGCAAGATTTGGTTCATTACGTGACATTCTTAAAGATATATTTAAATTGGAGTGGAAAATTAAACTAAAAATATTATGCAATATTATTAGCGATCTTTCAGATATTCATTCTAAAAACTTTATATAAATCGAAATTTACATTCAGGTAATATTTTACTGAAAGAACGATATGAAGCTTATATTGATTGAGGTTCATCAATATCGATTGATAAGAAAACAGGATGGTCATATTTATGGTGTTTTGCCATATTTAGTACCTGAGGCCTTGAAAGGAGAATAGTTCACACAAGCTGCCGATATTTACAGTTTGGAATTATTATCATAGAAATATTAACTGGTCGAAGACCTTTCAATGGTTACAATTTTGATGCTGAATTAGCGGCAATGATTTGTCATGGATTACGACCTGAATTTATTTTAAAGACGCCAAAATGTTATGCTAAATTAGTCAAACAATGTATTAATTCGGTTATGAAAAGAAGGCCTACGGCTGTTAAAATTACTAATAAACTTGGAAAATGAGAAGACATTATAGTCGCCAACGATAATCATGTTAGATCAAATATAAAAAAAAAGATCTAAGACTGTTGGGATTTTTAATAAACTTAAAAATGGAAAAAATCTATAGTAGTTAATAATAGTAATATTAAATTATTCAGATGAAGAGACCAAACAGCAATTTTTAGACGCTGATAAATTAATCAAAGAATTGCCAATTATCACGCAAAAACATGATAATGTGATGTATACTTAAAAACTTATTGATACGGGGAAAATTGTTTCAGAGTTAAAAAAATTTTGAGAGTAATTAGTAACTTAAACCAAGTATAGAGAACCAATATTGATAATATTGATAGCAATTTAATTTTTTATGACTTTTTATAAATACAATATTAAAGGATATATTGTATATTGCTATATATAACTTATTGATAATTACCTTTTATTAACCCGAAGTATAACAAAATTATAATAATTAAGGTATTATGTAGATTTTTCAATGTTTTATATCTAAAATTTTTGATAAAAACCTTAACATTTACACATTAAATTAGCATTTAAGGTTATAGTTAGGCTTTTGGGAATAGAACATTTTTACTTAAAACATTTTATATTGATTAATTGGCCAGTTAAGATGATATATGCATATTTCATAAGACTGCCAACTTTAATAAACTATACAAAGGTGACGAGATTTGCAGCTTATCACAAGATGAGTAAATATAAATATTAATCTCATTCAAAATGTATATAAATCAGTAATGATAAGAGCTAATATATAGCGGTCAACTTACTGACTAATTAACAGAACAAATAATATTTCATTAAAAAGCAGTAGAACTATTTATTTCTACGAGCAGAATAATTTGTAGATTGTAAAAATCTTTATCAACTTTTGCACCTGAATTAAAAAGAATAGTTCATTTTTTGTAAAGACATCTGCAAATTAAATATGAAAATGATTCATTTAGCAAAATTAAAAAAGGTTAGCAATTATACGATCCTTAATTCATCTACAAATGTAAACCAGTTATAAATTCTTTATTTCGGTTTATTGTAGTATTAACCTTAAGACTTCCTAAGCAAAATATAAAGAAAACACAGACGAAAGTAAATGTTTCATTTTTATTCCAAGTTCAATATATTTTAATTGGTTGAATTGGTACTTGGTATGGTTCGATATAGATAGTGTTGAGCCCGTATGATTATTCATTTTAATCAAAATTTCTAGGTAATGGAGGCATTATTCCTAGAGATGTAAACATTTAGAATCTTGAGTAGTAATTATCCCAACAAAAAAATCATGGCAATATGGCAAGTTTTCCGTCTTTCCCAGTGTACCCAACAAAAGGCTCAGGACATGTGTATCTAGTTGCAGTGCACAAAATTTCCAGGTGATGTATATTTTTTTTACAAACGGAACTTAAAACCATAGTAAGAAGTTGTTATTATAAATAATGGGAATTTTCCGCCTATAGAAAAGTCGAGACGAAATTATCAGTAGACAGAAATTTTCAGTATTTTACAATAGATTTGTGGTTGTGTAAGGGACTAGTTGCTTCAAGTCACTGATATCGATATTAATATTACGGTATTAGATCAACACCAATAAAATTGTATATACATACACTTTTTTCTTTTTTGTTTTTACCCTATAAAAAAAGTTTGTCAAATAAATGTTCTAAAATTGTTTTAAAATTGTTTAATTACAATTTCTGTTTTTTGTTTGGTTTTTGACAAGTTTTTGTTTGGTTTTTGTTCAGAAAAATGTTCAAAACGGTGTCGATTTTTCGAACGATTTTTTGAACGATAATTTATATGATTTTTGTACAAAATTATGATATATTATGGTAGACTTTGTTTAATTTTTATTAATATTTGTACCATTAATATGCAGTAATTATCATATATTTATATAAAGTATATTGACTTACATTCAATAAATGTTTTATTGCTGTCACAATATTTTACTTACATTATAATTATTTTATTCGATTTTTGAGTTGAATTATTCAAATAATTTATTAATTACATGCCAACTATATACAGTTAATATGCAAATAAATTACTAATCTGATAAACTAAATTATCGCATATATAAAGACTAGATCTATTATCATTCAGTTATTTTTCTAAAAAAAAAAAAAAAAAAAAAAAATTAACTTCAATTTTTAATATCTATTTCTAAAATGAGTGTTGCTAAAAAAAACCTCTGAAAATTTAAATATAAGCCATATTTAAATTTTCAGGTTTTCTTTTAGCGACACTCAAATTATATATACGATTATATCATACTATTGGTCCTTGCATTATTAGGTGCTTTCGAAGATCGTTTTTTGGCACTTTTTTTGATGGTCGCAGCCTCTGTAACTTCATTAACAGGATCATTACTTCGGGCTTTAGTAGGACTTCTATTAAGTAATAATAATATAAATTAAAATAATCGATGTTATGATAAACAACTAGTCTTTTGAATACCTATAACCAAATTATAACTCATACTTAGGACGTAACATGCAACCAGAATTTTGAGATTTTTTACTTGATGTTCCTGACGTTCCAATAATACTATTCGAACTGATGTCTTGAATTTCATTAGTTTCATTGATATTTGGTTGAAGAGTAGTTAATGGAGTGCGAGAGGCAAATGTTATACTAGTTGACCTTGTATTATTTGGTGGACTTTGAGTTTTGTTAACCTCTAAAGGCTGTTCATAATTGGTAATCTAAATGTCATATATAAAAACTTAATAATAATAATAACATTTTTATTTAATAATTTATTACATCCTACTCACACTAGTTCCAAGGCCAGCTACAAATTCTTCAAAAGACTCACGTGTTTCAGTAGGAAGACCTTTATTTCTTATTTTGTCATTCTGAGATGAACGATCATTCATTTTGCGTTTTTTTATATCACCTATTGAAGAATAAGTTAATTAGATTTTTATAATTTTGTATAACATTACTTATTTATAATATTACTTATTCACTAGTCAATATTAAAAAAAATTGATGTATTAAGTAGCAGGTGAAGCGTACTACGTATTTAAAATGACAAATAATTTAATATTGACTAATGCTTACGAACGTTTATTGTTAATTATCCCTCGCATCATCCGTCTAATAGCCTAATCACAAGCCGTAAGAGGAAACATCGGATTTTTGCGTTTGAACTAACAAAAAACTTTTATTATTTCGAAAAATATCAATGAAAAGAATTGAATCATAGCCCTTATGCTTCTAATAATTGCATTTTTTTCATTCTCAGATATTTTTCGAAACTCGGGCACATTATTTTCATATTTAGCTATTATTATTAAGCGAAGCGATTCCTGCATAATAGAATTAAAAAAATTAATAAACCAATAAATTGTAAATAACAAAAGCGAATAAAAAATGCGAATAATAATATAATCACCTGATAACTATTATATATAGGCTTATCAATTTTGAGAAATTTTGGAATATTGATATATGTCGTCTCACTTGGTTTTTCAATCAGCATTGGCTTTTGAAATATAAAATATTTTTTAGCAAATTATGTAATATTAAAATTACATTAAATTATCAAATACATACAATAGAATCTTCTTTGTCACTAGCACTCTCTATTTCTGAACTAGATGAATTATTCATCTTGCGACTTCTTTTATTAGATTTGAGGTTTTTTTTTCCTTTTTTTTTTCTAGATATATCATTATTGTTATCATTCTGGATGGGTTCATTTTTTCGATTGTTAACCTTATTATAATTAGGTTGGAGTTTCTCCAAAGTTTCTAATCTTTTAATTAAAGCTGATATTTGGTTTGTTTTTGAAAGATGATCATCTTCAATATCTGAATTTTGTTCGCTTCTATCTGTTTCAGATTCTGAATTAGACCGAGTCACATCCTCTCTATTACTTGTGCTTGTACTTTGATTGCTTCTATATGTTCTTTTTTTTTTATTATGAACCATTATTGCAGAGATAAAGAATGGTAGCGGTCTGTTTTAACTAGCACCTTCCTATTATACCAACTTGAGAAACAATTCACTAAGTTCGAATAAAAAAAAAGTATCTTTCAAGAAAAAAAACTGATGGATAAGAAAAGACTTGCTTCAAAATACTAGAACTAAAAAGTTCAACTAAAACATAATAAAATAAAAGAACCGTTCAACTAACTTCATATATATAGTTATTTGTCGAAAAAGGTAGTTATTTATTTTATTACTCTTTTTTGTGTTGAAAAAAGAAATTTACTGATCACGATTTTCTCTTCTCTTTTATACTGATATGATAAATATGGCAATATGCATTAAAATATACTCCGCATGCATTAACTTTTGATTAACCTGATTTAACCTGATTTAACCGATAATTACGTTACAATTTATCTGCATCAATTTTTTTTGATTAACCTGATTTGGCTTTATTTAACGATAATTACGTTACAACCTACCAATAAGATATCTTATCAAAGTCAGGTGAAGTTAATGCATGCAGAGTCTATTTTAATATTTATTTTTGGCAGTAATCGTCATAGTTAAAATTAAATAAAAGAAAAATTGTAATTAGCAAAAAAAAAAATTTTTTTAACTTGAGAAAATAATAAAGCAAATACACACCTTGCTGTATTATTAATACAAAGTTGACTGTGGGTGTTTGTTGAAATTAAATAAAGAAGGCATTATTAGTAAGTTAGACTGACATGGGATTATAACTAAACTATTATTTATTTTAACAATTAATTTTAAATTAAAAAGTGTGTTTGAGCATTTCTGTATGATGTTTGTAAGAAACAGAAGATTAATAGAAAATTCTGAGTTGAACATATAATATCAGGAACCTTTTTTTTTAAATGATCAGATTGGTCTTTGCATTAACTTATATATATTGTAATATATATATACTGTATATCAATATTTCGTTAATTTATATTTATAATTTTTGCGATAGTAACTTATTGAAATAATAATGCCTGAAACATTGGTCTGGTGCACTTGC